GAACAGCTAAGATACTGTGCAGAACCCTCAAACTCCCAGGCCTCTGGTAGAGGACCTAAGATTGAGGAAGACACATATCACCCATAGGGGTGAGAAGGGAATTTTTTTATATCTATATACACATACATACATACACACATACATATATTTTATATATAGAGAGAAAAACATAGAAATCACACTAACTTAGTTTAGATACTTATAGGGCTGAAAATTCTATTTCATAGCAGAGGAAGGTATGTGGGCATGATCCCCTACTATGGATAAGAAGGATTTTCACCCCAAAGTAAACATTTGAACCAAAAGCACGTAGCAGCCATCTCCAACGTGGGTGTCCCTCATCATCTTCAGCCAATGTGGTCTCTAGGATTGCCTTTGGCCATACTGCCTATTGATCTGGAGGGCACCAGGTTAGAGGAAGCAGTCCTTGAGAATTTATCCTATCTATCTATCTATCTATCTATCTATCTATCTATCTATCTATCTATCTATCTATCTAATTTATATAGCCGCCCATCTCATAAAAAGTGACTCTGGGCGGCAATAGGGTCAGGGACAAGAGAGGAAGGGGAATGGCCAACCTTTTATTATAATCAGTTGTTGAAGATCAGAAGCATAGTGAAATTAAGCTGACCCTGAAAAGGTGGGCTAAACAGCCTGAAATTGTGATATTATTTTCTTCTACACATCATCCATATTTAGCCTGTGTATAAAATTTTTTCTATATAAAATCTCCCATTGAGGCATTTCGTTTAAAAGACATCTTACCGATAAAGTCTACCAGAATCCACTCTTCCTCTTCTTTCTCACTGAACTCTGGTTCTTGGCTGGGCAAATTACCGAGTTCTCCCACAAACATATTATTCAGCCTCTGGAACATTACTAAGGCAATAGTACAAAGACTGGCTAGCACTTGCTTGCGTCCACAAGATGAGGTACCACTTCACAACGTACCAGCCAAAAGTTAGGGTGCAGGTAGAAGATTAAAGTGCATAAAAACTTTATCAGCTGAGGCACTGGACACGGAGAGGCATGGTTTGTAAACAGTTGCTACAGAATCCTGCAGAGAAAACAGGAAAAGCAGTTTTAATGCTCTTTGCAAACACAAAACACATCACGTACCTGCATTCAGTCTAATACTGCATGAGCATACCTGGCTTATACATGTTTGCCTCACCCAGGTTTGTGTGTGTGTGTGTGTGTGTGTGTGTAGCCTCAGACTAGCTGAAAATGGCAAATTTCACCCTAACCCTAACCCTAACGCGCCACTGCCCATGATATTGTTGTAGGCGTTACGTTTGCCATGGCGTGGTCACCAGGCATGCCTGCCGAGGAATTCTGAGAGTTGCAACCAGGGTACCAAGTTGGGAAGCTGCTACAGACTCAACAAAGTTCCTTGGATCTGTTTGGTGGATTTTGGAGCTCTGATAAAATTAAAAACCAGAGAAGTCTGCCAACTCTTGCCGCACAGGACTTCCATAGTGCACCGTAAAGGAGACCTCCCCTTCTTTTGTCATCAGCACTGTTTTTACGTTGTCAGGTATCTCCTTTCACATATCATCTTCCCCAGTCTGGCTGCCTCCAAATATGCAAGGTCATTTCCCAGGATTCTCAGCAGCAGTCACACTGGCTGAGGAATTCTGGAACTTGAAGTCCACACATCTAGAGTGCTCAGGTCTGCCACAGCTGTGCTAAGCACAATGAGGATTGTTTGGTATTGTCTTAGTGCAGGGGGCATTCCATGGATTACATGCAGCCCCTCCCCATCCCCCCAATTTCATAGCTTTTAGTACATGGTGTGACTATATTATCAAACTTCAGCACTAAAAATCTAACTTTCAGCAGTGTGGTTTGTTACTTTATTTTGCCCCAAACCTCCCCAAACTGTAAAAAAAACGAGGAGGAAAAACCCAGTTACTTTCATCCCACCCCTTAGATATGTTCTACTGATAGCTTAACAGGATGTGTGGAGCCAGCCAATTATGATTTATTCAACAAGCCATCAAGGCAATTATGGGTTAGTGCAATGTGTGAACCTACTCCTGATCTCCATTTGTTTGAGCATGTGCTTGCAACAAAACAACATTTTGTGTTCTGGAACCTCTGATTCTGAATCTCCAAACTTCAGGCTTTTTTTCCTCTCTGATCATTTCAAGTATACTGCAATCAGTCCTAATTCTCCTGGTTTTTCAGAACACACTTTGCTTTTCACAGATTGACAGCATCACTGCTTCCAGCAGGGGGCTCAACATTTAAAAGATTTAAGTACTAGTGTTCTCATCCAGAGACCGTTGACCCTGATCCTTCAGTTTTCTTGTCTTGCATATTTGCAGTACAGCAGTGCATACAGAGTGACAGTCACTCCATGGATGGATATTTTAGATTTAGATTATTGGATTTAGAACTTGTCCAAACAGCAAATCAAGCATACCACGCTGACATAGTTCACCATAGAAAGATTACCTTAAATAGTTACCAAGGAAAAAATATAAATCTGAACCCCCTTCTACAGCTAAAATCAATCCAACAAACCTCTTGTCCTGAATACCAAATATAATGTTCTAAAGTTTTTTTTCTCCAGCCAAACATCACCTCTGATTAAAATCATCACACGAGTTCATGTTCATGGAAGTCTGAGATTGCATCAGATTACATTTATCCATGTCCCCAAATAGGGAAATATTCTTGCGAAGGAAAACAAACAAACCAACCAGAAGAGTTGCCTAATATCGGAGGCTTCTGTGCAAAATATACTTTTGAAACATAAAGGGGTGGAGGTGGGTGGGAAAGTGATTCTTCTCTTCAAGGAATCAAAGTGTCCTGTTTTACTATTTCATAAGAATACATTCACCTAGGACATTCCAGGAAACACTGATTACTGCTGCTTATTCTTTGAGATTAAACCACTGTGTGTGTGTATGCGTGTATGTGTGCGCACGCATGCATGTGTCTTTCTTTCCCAACTAGTCACTCTCCAGAAGTGCTACACTAAGACCCTTTTCTGAGGCAGCCACGGGAGAAATTCCTAAAACCTCACAGGTGGAAAAGGCCCGTCTAAAGTATGGCCGATCATTTGAAATGATCTTGTGGATTCATGCTTTTCGTTCAAGACAGTAAAAGTTATCTGTTAAAATATAATTTTAAAGGTCATTCAAACCATTGGGGTTTCCCCACACACCCTTATCCCACAGACAAAAACAAAACAGAGAAGGAAATGTAAAGATGTAAAATGTAAAAGAGGTGCAGCGGGCCCCTACCCTCCTGGCTTTCCAGAAAGGACTAAAGACCTGATTCTGCCAGCTTGTGTGGGGCAACAAGAATTTTAATCAATCCTGGGGGTGGCTGGCACCCTGACGATGCTCCCCAAGCTATTTACCAATTAGCCTCAACTCTTGGACGATATTTATTTCTTATTTATTCAGGTCTATTTTATATTGTATTTTTAACTGATTTTAGCTTCTCTGTAAACTGCCCAGAGTCGTCTTTTTTTAAAAAAAACTAGATGGACGGTGACACATTTGATCAAATAAAATAAAAAATAAATGGAAAGGTTCCAGTGTCTTATCTGCCCACCGGTCTCTCAGAAACCACCCCCCCCCCGCCCAGTTCAACACTTTGTTTCTCACAATGGCCAACCAGATGTCTTTAGGGTGCTCACACATTTAAAGAGGCTCTGAACAGATTTCAAATTCAGTTTGCAGCTGGGGAAAATGAGGTTTGTAGTACTGAACACATAGAGGGGCAGCTTGTCTTCATGTGCATTTTAGGAGTTTATTCCTTACAAGGCTGGCTGGGGAATTCTGGGAGTTGAAGTCCACACCTCTTCAAGTCGCCAAGGTTGAGAAATACTGTCTTACAGTATACGACTCCCTCTCGGGCTGAAACTGGCCCTCCCCAGTCACAGCATCTGATCTGTTTTGTTCGCCAGCTAACTCCTCCCTGGCAGCGGCGCCGCCCTTTTGCTCC